CAGGTCTACCGCCTTAACGTACCGTCGACCCTCCTCTCAAAATAGTAGGGAGTTTGCACTTTTCTAGACCCCCTCTTCTTTTCTAGGTCACACAACTTACTCGATGGACCTCAGCTGCTAATCATCATGACGAGGTAAAAAATTTGTCGTTCAGTCTCTTTCTAATCTCGAGTCACCCTCTTGTACAAGTAATAGACTATGGCTAATAAACATTTTCCTTTTTGTGCCCACGTGGAGCTTAGTCGTATCGGAATGAGTTCTAATTTAATTATAAATAACTTCAAAATTTTATGAACAAAATGCAGCTGTTTTTAAAAAAAAAAAAAAAAAAAAAAAAATTTGTTATTTTTTAATAAATTACAAGTTTCAGCAATAAAAGGATAAATATTTAATTTAAGAAGTTTGCTAAACTTACCTGCCGCGCTCAAACTTCCAAGAAATCTCCTTTTTATGGGTTCTCAAATTTTCTTCCCTTTTAAATTTTTTTTCGTTGGCATCCAAACAGCGGTCAGCCCGGGCAGAGTGAAATCCTTTAAATTATTTCACTTAAGAAAGTAGATCAACGCCCAACCTAAATTTACAGGAATAAAGTGTGAACATATTACACGTGTCACAACCCCATTTGTCTGTTATGAATGGAAAAAGTTCCAACTCTGACCTAACTGTGTAACCACGCTCTCCAACCCTCACATCTCTTCTCTTTTTATCAGCTTTTGTTGTACTTATATGGTTATAGAGAAAGCCATATATTTGGAAATCCACTTCCCAAAAGTTAGGTATATAAGTATATTGAAGCGGAATATCGAGGGGTTATAAGAAGAACGATCTTGTAACGCTTTTTCGTAGGGGTGATCATGGTGGAGAATATGTCACCTGCTAGAGATACGGTTGCATTTTTCAACTATACGGAGCTTCATAATCGCCCACGCTCTTTTGCTAGTTTGTCTCCTTCACTTGGCGAGCTTCTGAAGCGAGTTGGAGACGTACGTAGGGAGGCGGCTGGAGATGGGAACGAGACTCCGGTACGTGTTGAATAACTATGCTAAATTCAAAAACTCAAGCATGTCGGTTAGTATGTTTTTAATTTCTTGGCACTTTCCTTCGTTAGAAAACTCTTGGGTCGAGTCAATGCTAGAACATGAGTGAGGTTTTGTGAGATCCCACATCGATTGGGGAGAATAACCAAACATTCCTTATAAAGGTGTGGAAATCTCTCCGTAGCCGACGTGTTTTAAAAACCTTGAGGGAAAGTTTAAGGAGACAGTATCTAGTAGTTGGGCTTTGGGCCATTACAAATGGTATCAAAGCTAAGTTCCAGGCGATGTGTCAATGAGCCCGGAAGAGGGTGGACAGCAAAGATGCCAAGCCCCGAAGGGTGGTGGATTGAGGGTCCCACATCGATGGAAGAAGGGAACGAGTGCTAGCAAGAATGTTGGGCCTCGAAGAGAAATGGATTGTAAAATCCCATGTCAAAACATTATTTATAAGGATGTGAAAACATCTCTCAAGCAAACCCGTTTTCAAATACAACTCAAATCGGGAAAGAGATACCTGAGAAATCCCAAAATAGACAATATTTGCTAGCTTGCTTACATTATTTCATCAATTATTAGTTGGATAAGAGCTTCCATTAAGGGATAGATTAGGGTAAAATTACTTTAATTAATTAATTTTTAATTATATTGTTTAACAGGTGCATCAGGTACTGGACATGAACGGCAAGAGCTTGGAGCCGAGGTCCTTGCCTTTCGTGCTCTCCTTCAACAACCTCACATACAGTGTCAAAGTTCGCCGGAAAATTAGTTTTTCGTCGGTTTTTCAACGAGGGAACACACTCGGTGGTTCTCCGGCAGACAAGACAGTCGTCGACGGCAGCTTATTTACGAAAACGAAGACTCTGTTAAACAACATCTCTGGCGAGGCTCGAGAGGGTGAGATTATGGCCGTTCTCGGAGCAAGTGGCTCGGGGAAATCGACGTTGATTGATGCACTGGCTAATAGGATTGCGAAAGGAAGCTTGAAAGGAACGGTGACTTTAAATAGCGAGGTGTTGGAATCCAGATTGTTGAAGGTGATCTCTGCTTATGTGATGCAGGATGATTTGCTCTTCCCGATGCTCACAGTGGAAGAAACCCTAATGTTTTCGGCTGAGTTTCGATTGCCTCGAACGCTTTCGAAATCGAAGAAGAAACTGCGGGTTCAGGCGTTGATTGACCAGTTAGGGCTGCGGAACGCGGCGAAAACCATCATCGGAGACGAAGGACACCGCGGCGTCTCCGGGGGAGAGCGGCGGCGAGTCTCGATCGGAATCGACATAATCCACGATCCGATCATCCTTTTCCTCGACGAGCCTACATCTGGACTCGATTCAACTAGTGCATTCATGGTGGTGAAAGTTCTACAGAGGATTGCTCAGAGCGGGAGCATTGTCGTTATGTCCGTACACCAACCGAGTTATCGAATTCTCGGATTGCTAGATCGATTATTGTTTCTCTCTCGCGGACAAACCGTTTACAGTGGCTCCCCTGCTAATCTTCCTCAGTATTTTGCAGAGTTTGGCCATCCGATTCCAGAAAATGAGAACCGGACTGAATTCGCGCTCGATCGGATTCGAGAACTCGAAGGCTCTCCGGAAGGAACCAAGAACTTGGTTGAATTCCACAAATCATGGCAGAGTATGCAGAACATTTCAAAATCAGAGTCGGATCACCAGAGTATATCGTTAAAAGAAGCAATCAGTGCGAGCATTTCACGAGGCAAGTTAGTCTCCGGCGCAACCAACAACGACGCGAGCCCTAACTCCATGGTTCCGACCTTCGCAAATCCATTTTGGATAGAAATGGCGGTTTTATCTAAACGATCTGTACTAAACTCCCGCCGTATGCCGGAGCTATTCGGAATTCGACTCGGCGCCGTTCTGGTCACCGGTTTCATCCTCGCTACCATGTTTTGGCAACTCGATAACTCACCAAAAGGAGTTCAAGAACGGTTAGGGTTCTTCGCTTTCGCCATGTCTACAACCTTCTACACCTGCGCCGATGCTCTTCCGGTGTTTCTGCAAGAACGTTACATTTTCATGAGAGAAACAGCCTATAACGCATATCGGAGATCCTCCTACGTCCTCTCTCACTCTCTGGTAGCCTTGCCGGCGCTAATCTTCCTTTCCTTAGCTTTCGCAGCAACGACGTTTTGGGCCGTCGGACTGGACGGTGGAATTTCAGGTTTCTTGTTCTACTTTCTGATCATTTTTGCTGCGTTCTGGGCCGGAAGTTCATTCGTCACTTTCCTTTCGGGAGTAGTTCCTCATGTAATGCTCGGCTACACCATTGTCGTCGCAATTTTAGCTTACTTCCTTCTCTTCAGTGGATTCTTCATCACACGCAAACGAATTCCAGATTACTGGATCTGGTTCCATTACCTTTCTCTGGTCAAGTATCCGTACGAAGCCGTTTTACAGAACGAATTCGACAATCCGGCGAAATGCTTCGTGAGAGGCGTGCAGATTTTCGACAACACGCCGCTGGGACTCGTGCCGACCGCCATGAAATTGAAGCTTCTGGAGAATCTGAGCAACACTTTAGGGATGAAGATAACGAGATCCACTTGCTTGACGACGGGTTCTGACATTCTTCAACAGCAGGCAGTGATGGATTTGAGTAAGTGGAATTGCTTGCTGGTGACTGTGGCGTGGGGATTCTTGTTCAGGATCCTGTTCTACTTCTCGCTCCTCATTGGAAGCAAGAACAAGAGGAGATGAAACAAAATTTATAATCGGATTTTTATTATGCGTTTAGTTGGAAGGAATATTCAAATGAGTTTTAATTCTTCGAAATGCTTTTCATGTGTTTCTTTACTTTTTTTTTTTCCTTAATTTTTAAAAAAATTTCGTCCCATTTTAAGGCTGTGAAGCACTAAAATAACGTTGTTAAATCCCAATATATTCTTATTTTTTATTTATAATTTTCATCATAAATTCTTTTGAAGGGACCACTAACTTTTAGATTAAATGGTGTTATTCCGTTTAAGTTCACTGTCAAATATTGTCCATTTTGGTCTATTACATATAGTAATCAGCTTCACTGTTTTAAAACGAGAATACTGAATTTCCTTTCCAACGGCTAGGGATCTTAGTGGTAGACTTGGGCGATTATAAATTGTATCAGAGTCAGGCATCAAGCAGCAAGTGATCAGCTTCACAGTTTTAAAACATGTCTACTGAGGAGAGGTTTTCACACCTTTATAAAGAATTCTGAGTTCCCTCTCCAACAGCTAGGGATCTTAGCAATGGAACTTGGGCAGTTATAAATGGTATTAGAGTCAAGACATTAAGCGGTAAGTAATCAGCTTCACTGTTTTAAAACGTGTCTACCGGGGAGAGGTTTTCACACCCTTATAAAGAATATTGAGTTCTCTCTCCAACGGCTAGGGATCTCAGCGATGGACTTGAGCTGTTACAAATGGTATCAAAGTCAGGCATTAAGTGGTAAGTAATCAGCTTCACTGTTTTAAAACGTGTCTACTTGGGAGAGGTTTTCACACCCTTATAAAAAATGAGTTCCCTCTCCAACGGCTAGGGATCTTAGCGGTGGACTTGAGCTGTTACAAATGGTATCAGAGTCAGGCATTAAGCGGTAAGTAATCAACTTCACTGTTTTAAAACGTGTCTACCGAGGAGAGGATTTTACACCCTTATAAAGAATACTTAGTTCTCTCTCTACTGACTAGGAATCATATCGGTGGACATGAACTGTTATAAATAGTATCAGAGTCAGGCATCAAGCGGTGAGCAAGTGAGGACGTTGGACAACCAAGCGGGATGGATTGTGAAATCCCACATCAAGAAGGGAACGTAACGTTTATTAGAAGAGTGTAGAAACCTTTTCCTAGTAAACACGTTTTAAAACTTTGAGAGAACTACGGAAGGAGAAGTCTAAAGAGGACAATATCTGCTAACGGTAAACTTGAACCGTTACAAATAGTATTAGAGCTAAGCATCGAGCGGGTATATAAGATTTCATTGCAAACCAGAAATTCAAAAACAGACAGAGAATTCAAACAGATTGGCAGTGAAGGATAGATGAGATGATAAAACAACAGCATTTTCAGTAACTGATGTAAACAGTGAATTGCAGCAAAGTTTCAACCCCATCAGTTTCATGCTGGTTGGTGCCTGGAAGAGTCTTCACGTTGGCATACCCTTTTGCATTTACATATTTTCCAGTGCCTCCCATGATGGCCAAGTGAGACTCCGACACCGCGGTCCGGTGGACGCCGAAGAAGCTTAGGCTGTCGACGTAATGGCCACTTGCAAACATAGTTGTGAATGCCATTGTTTGACTGTTTCCATCTTCCGAGCTCACGACATAGAATCCTTGAGCTTTTCCAATCAAGCCAGAACCGAGCTCGTGTCCTTCTGTGAGCTCGTCGTCGATCACCGTCATTGTGCCGAACATGAGCTGTTGTACCGATACACCGGATGGGAGCTGCCCTGCGTTAACAGATGGAAAGCTCGATGCACCATTGAAGTTGTTCCCACCACCGTTATTGTTCTGCAACAACGGCGATGTAGCTCCGCCGAGTCCAATCAGAAAGGGGAGGTTGTTATTGTTAATTAGACCAGTGTTTCCATTGCTTTGAGGAACACCATTACCAACTGATAAAACGGCTCCATTGGGTTTAGCAAACGGAAGCTGGCCGTTGAGGGCGGGATTGTTAACCGCCCCGGTAACCGCCCGAGCCGAGGGATTCGAACCACCAAGGATGTCATGCATGAAGAAGGTAAAGGTATGGTGATCATCTTGAATCCCCCCTGAACTAGGTAGAGTTGCTGAAGGTGTAGTAGCTCCTTGCCCCACGTTTCCAACCGACGTCCCGCCCGAACTAGGTAGAGTTGTTGAAGGTGTAATAGCTCCTTGCCCCAGGTTACCAGCCGACGTTGCGCCCGGACTAGGTAGAGTTGTTGAAGGTGCAGTAGTTCCACCCCCCGAATTGCCAACCGGCGTCGCGACGACATTCGATGCAGCCGGAGTACTGCCCGAGACTTGTGGCTGCTCGTCGAGGAGTCTGGCCGAGTTAGCAGAGAAACACATGAAGCAGAGCAGCAGAAGGCAGGGTAAAGGTTTGGTTAAGAAAGGGAGAAGGTTGTGAGAGTCCATGAGAGGAGGCCTAAGGAAGAGGTAATAGATGTTGGTGTGTTTTATGGTAATGTTGATGGGGTTTAGGGTAATATATATTGGGCTCAAGGAAATGGGAGTTGCTGAAATGGAGTTGGTGAATAACTCTATGATCAATGGTGATTTGGTTTGGAATTCAATTAACACCAACAAAAGCACAAAACATATTAGTTTAAATTTTAATATTTTCGAGATTTCCATACCCATGTAAGGAATGCTTTGTTCCCCTCTTCAATCAAGATGGGATCAAACATCGTTCACCAACGTCCTTGTTGGCATGCTTGCTGTCACACTATCTGATGTCTGGCTCTAATACCATTTGTAACAGCCCAAACTTACCGTTAACAAATATTGTCTTTCTTTCTGAGTCTCCCGCAAGGTTTTAAAATACGTCTTATATGGAGAATATCTAATCCTGCTTCGACCAGTGTCTTACACCGTTTCATGACTGGCTCTGATATCATTTGTAACAACTCAAATTCATCGCTAGAAGATATTGTTCGCTTTGGCCAACAACGTATATCGTCATCCTCACAATTTTAAAATAAAAATATAAGTTAAACAATATATATTATAACAACAAGAGAGAGAGAGAGAGGCTAAATTATAGTTTATTTCTTATAATATTTTGGAGATAGAGAGAAGAAAAAAACAACAAAAACTGTGGAGAGGGAAGAGGAGGGGTCTGTTATTCTGATATCGAGGCTGCTTGGTTTAAATGTTGTTCGAGAATTGGGAGAATCTGGTTGCCAAACTAAGCCTAGCCGCTGGTGAAACTCCATCCTTACAAATAATGGACGCCAATACAGATTCAGATAGCAGCTTGCTCTCTATTGTCGCCATCCCTTCTTTTTGTTCAGGAATGCTCCCATCCTTTGAGAAGCTAATCTGCATCACCCACCAACAATCACTCTTGTAATCTTAATCCTTAATCTTTAATCTTACTTACTACTTGTTGATCCTATCATAACACTCTGTTAACATAATCTCATCCAAGTTGTTGATCTTACTTACTGCTTGTTGATCCTATCATTAAAACAATGGAACTAACCGATAAAGTGTTTGGAGGCAAGTGGGTGAAAAGAATGGAAGAGCCAGCAGGGAACGTTTCGCTCTTGAAGGCATCAATGAACTTTTTAATGGCTTCGGCTCCTTCCTCAGTATACATTCCCATGGATTTCCAAGCTGCTTCACAGTTCTCTGCAACTTTCTCCGCGTATTGCTGACCCGTAAGTGGCCGTATCATTGTAACATTTGTGAATTTCTCGAAAGGACCTGAAATTTCCAAGTTCAACGCCAACAATATGTAATTTCTTTACACAAAACATAAAAGAGAACCAAAACAACCATATGCTAAATTGAAATTTAATCTAAATATATTTATTTGAGAAAGGACCGCACTCCTGAACTTATTCAATCAATTTGGCCAACAAATTGTCGTATTGTTTGTTTGATTTTACAAATCGGAAATTCGCGTGAATATATATCATTCTATTCGTCCACATTAACAACTTTATTTCACAATCAATGGCAAGTCAAAAATCAAGTCACGAGTGTTAGACGAACACGATTCTCCAGAGGGGATGATATTGTCCTAAGCATAAGTGTTCATGGCTTTGCTTTGATCTTCCAAAAAGCCTCGTACAATGAAGAAAGTATTCTTTCTTTATAAACCCATAACTATTCCCTAAATTAGGCACGTGGACTTTCATCATCCAACAATCAGAACACCAGTAAAGTCCGGTGGAAATCTAACCGTCATCTCTAACTCCTCAAGTACGGATTATAAGAAATTAAAAAAGAAAGGCAGTTACTCACCAGTGACAATGTCCCTGAAGAACTCATCAGAATCCATCAACTCCGCCGCACTCTTCCCTTTCCACTTACCGGCAAGCAATGGCAAAGCATCCTTCTCCAAGTAAACGCCGATCGCAGTAAATTTCACGGAGTTTCCTTCGACCTCCAACTCCCTAACTCCTGTACAGTTTATCCAAAAGCACATTCTTATAAGGAAAAGGAAAAGGAAAACATAAGCGCAAAAAAAAAAAAAAAAAAAAAAAAAAAA